GCAGCAGCTCGTCTTTTAATAGCAACTAGAAAATATGAAAGCATCCCTGTCCTGGCTTCTCTTCACTTCTTTCCTGTCCAAGATTTTATTGCTTGTTTTTAAAGTCTTAAAATATCTGGCCCCGTCATATTTATGTGACCTTATCAACATCTACACGCCAGTAAGAACACTCCGGTATACCAACCAGTTCCTCTTAGATGTCCCCAGATCCAAACTGAAGCCCAGAGGTGATCGGGCTTTTGTGGTTGCTGCTCCAAAACTGTGTTCTAAAAAGCGTTCAATACAAAAACAACTGGACTTTATTTGTAACAGAAGACGTTTTGCTCCTCATCCAAGGAGATTTCTCAATTCAAAGAGCAGAGAGTGAGGGGTTCAGGTTATAAGAAGATAAGGTGATAAGATGCACATACATATGTAGATTGACAATTCACACCTCACCACCTTAACAGTAGGGGTTTCTTAAGGTCTTCGTTAATCTAATTCACAGATGAGGCCCCTCTGTTCCTCTGTACTCGAACCGCGCTGGAGTTCTCTTCTACCGGACTGAGACCTAGGTTTTAGCCCGGGCCAGAGTTCGCCTTTTTGTTCCATGACCGAGTTCGATGGCGCGTTCACACCTCCCCAAACGAACTGGACTTTCTAGGAAAATGAGCTAGAGTTCGATTAAAGTGGACTAAACAGGGCTGGTGTGAATGCACCCTTAAAGTTGCATTATAGGTTTTTGAAAGTGGAAATCTGAAGCCTCCTCCTCTGTTAAGAGACGGTTCGATAGCAATGACTTTTAAGTTCAGACTGTATGATGATTTTGATATTGATATCCACCTTGGAGTGCCGATAAGGAGCACAGACAAGATGCTTGAAGATCTTTTGGGTTCTTTAATTATGAACAGATGACATACAGCAGCCTTCACTTTACATATGTCTGAGTATGTGAGGGTATGTGTGGTCTATAAAAGAATCAAATAAAACAAAATCAGAAATGCACGCTGCTTGTATTAATAAACTACTTCAGATATCTACTTTCAACCTTTACATCTACATAGTGTGACTAACATATTACAGCTAAAGCTTAAACACTCATAACTTTGATGCTTAACAGAGTTTACAAAGCAAACACTACACTAGATGTAGTTAGCATTAGCATGTAGCCCCTACCAATAAACAACCTTGAATATTACAGAATGAACCAATAATGTCAAACCCGAGCTAAACATGGCGTATGCACAATGACAAAACACATGGCACTTGTCTATGTAGTGATGTAGGGTTAGTTTAGCTTAGGAGCTCCACTACAATCAATATTTAATAACGGGTTCTCTCTTTTTCGAGCTACTTGACAGATATGTGACAGAGGTACTGTGTTGGAGATGGTCTAATCAGTGACATGAGACGTTAATTTTCTTTGACCCATCAAAATGAATGTGGTCATTTATTAACAGAATCAAAATTTAACATCAAAACATTGTACACTTGATTATTCTGATCGGCTCTGATTAATAAAACATGGCACGTTTTACTTAATAAAAACAACAGACATATCCTTAGATCTTAAATTAATGTCTGCAGACTTTTTAGCTTATCTTTTACTGGCAGAGAAATATAGAGATGGAGTAAAGTTTAAGAAGGGAAAGTGGATACTTAGGGTTAACTAAGATAATAAAGAAAAGATGGGGAGTTATCTTGTTTGAAACCAGATAGCACGTTTCCCGGTGATTTCAGCTAGATGGTACCCGAGCGTCGACTCTTTACCTTGGTGGGGTTTCAGAGAGGTCTTCTCCTGGCGTCCAGCAAGGCTGAGTCTTTTTACCTCCAGGGATTTATCCGCTTCTCATCAACTTGGGACCACGAGGCTGACTGGCCCAGCTTCCAAAATAAACTTCCCCGAAAGATAGGATTAAGTTAAGTGGAATTTCAGCAAACGTGCTGAACTCCTGAGATGTTGAATAGGTCTTTGGCGTAATGACCAGAATCAACACTCCAGACAGGTGTCATCTTTCAGAAAATGACCACCGTGGACTTCACCCTTGCAAAGTCACTCTGTCTTCCTTCTCAGCAGAACTCTCTGTTCTCCATGGAACTTCTGTTCTCCTTCAGAACTTCTGTTCTTCCCCCAGAACTAACTGGAACTAGGAAGTGTCGACTTTTAAAGAGTTCTGCTTCCGGTCACTTTTAGGAAGTCCCGATTGGTTGAAAGAACCAACAGGGGTGTGGTTTTAGTGACGTCAGAGGTTACTACAAGTCAGAAAAACAGCGGAGATGTTTAGGAACAGACAGAGAAATGTTTTGGAGAAATGACAGACTCAGGTGCCAGTTTTCTTGTTTCTGTCTGAGAGGTTTAAAAACATGACAGTTCGTTCCAATAAACTTGTTTGCGACTGTCTCCGACTTTTGACCGACATCACTCCTTCTCATTTCAGACGGAAGATCAAAAAATGCATAATTACTTTGTAACAGACATTTAACTTGATTTCTACTTTGAATGAGGATTAAAAATCATTAATACTGTTTCACAGTTGATTTAAAATGAGTAGTTCACTTCAACATTTAAAATGGTTTGAACTAAACACACTTTTGATTATCAAGACATTGTAAAATATTAATGATAATATAAAAAGCGAGTGTTCTTTCAATTGATTAGTTCAGGATACAATTAGAAAGTCTCTGGATGAGCTAATTTGTATTTCTGGATTCAAATCAATGAAATAACAGTTCCTGTCCCATGAAGGTCTTCAGGGGCAGGTTTTGACCGGAGGCTTAGTTCACTACATCTATGCAGCTATTTTCATGTTAAACTTACATTTTGTCATGTACGCACACAACTTGAGCGGCTTCTGCTGCTTAACATGGCCGGCTCCATGTCAGATTAATTAAAGTGTTGCGCAGTTCTAAAATTAAAGATGCACTTACCAATATTCACCAGTAGATGTCTCTTAACATCATAATTCAAACTAAATGTCTCTGTGCAACAACTCGCTGCCTTTCTAACAAGACGTTTTTTCTCTTACATAAATTGTTTCCTTCACCCCCCTCTCAAACCATCTGTGTTCTTGGACCAAAATGTGCACATTTTGGTCCTCAAAAGAGTGTCCCTGATCCCTGAGGTGGAGGTGAACAGCTGAATCTTGTCCTGAGGAGGTGGCTCTCCTGTGTTGAGCCATGCATCTGTGAAGAGGCTGTGTAGTTTCTCCAATGCAGAGGTCTGGACAGTCCTCGCTGCACTGGACCGCAGACACTACACCACTCTGTTTGTGTATAGGTGTTTTGTCCTTAGGGTGGACCAGTTTCTGTCTGAGGGTGCATTCACACCAGCCCTGTTTAGTCCGCTTTAATCAAACTCTAGCTCGTTTTCCTAGGAAGTCCGGTTCGTTTAGGGGTGTGTGAACGCGCCATCAAACTCTGTCACGGAACAAAAAGGTGAACTCTGGCCCGGGCTAAAACCTAGGTCTCGGTCCGGTAGAAGAGAACTCCAGCGCGGTTCGAGTACAGTGTGAATGCAATCAGACCGGGCCCCGCTCCACAAGCAAGAAGTGGAGTACAGCGCAGGATAAACAAACACGCATTTTTCTTACCGTATATGGAGCCGTCAGCTGCCTTGTGTGAAAAACAATATTCTCCATGGTCTTCTGTCTCATCTTCTGCTCATGCCGAGTCCATTTTTGAAAAATGACAAAATATAACTCCTAAAACTGCTAAAACTTGATGCCACTCCATTTTTGTTTTTATTTCCAGAAGAAGAAGACGTATCTTCAGAGGTTTTTGTGTTGTTTCTTTCAGTAGTTCTTGCTGCAGCGCCCCCACAGGCGAGCGGGGGAACAGGTTGGTTCAACAGGTTGGCTCGACTGCACAGTGCAGTGTGAATGCAAACGCACCAGCTCAAATCTTTGTGAAAAGAAACCATCCATCTTTAAACAGGGGTGGAGGCCTCCGTGTTCAACTATCCCCTTCTTACAATGCTGTTATTGCTAGTATCACTCAGCCCCCTGTCAGAATCAGAATAAACTTTATTGGCATTGCACCGAAATACAACGCAAATATGTACGTACAGTCGTCTGAAAGATGGGCGGAGTGCACGAAGCTGCGGCTATAAAATAGCGCGGCCCTCTTATTCAGAATAATATTTTGCTTAGATGAGAAAAGGGAAGAAAACATGAGGAGAGACGTTATAAAAAAAAGATCCGTCACTCCGTGTCCTAGACGGGGCACGATTTGCGGCATCAAAAAAAACCTTCCATAGCAAAGCAACATAATCAGACGTTATACATGAACATATAGGCCGGTGAAGACATTGAATTTTTAAGGGAAAGTCGTAGCATAGTCCAGAGCCCCCCCTCTCAGTCATTGTCCAGATAAGAGGTGACATTCATCTTCAGCTCAGTTGAGGTTCTGTCACATGTCCATGGCCTTGGAGAAGGGAGGGGTGAGGAAACAGACAAAGCATCTTTGTTGTTTTCAAAACATGCCAGGAGGAGTTGAGATACGTCCGGCGTCAAGGTCACAGTTTGGATCAGGCAGAACGCGTAATTGTTGTTTCTGCCTTTTTAAAGTCTCGCTGGTACATATTCCTCTGATGGAACTCCAAAATAGCCGAATTGATCCTTGCTGATTTAAACCTAATTCAACAAATATGTGTTCCTCCTTCTGCTAACTTAGGCTTGTTCTTCCATTTCAGCTTTTTTTCAGCATGTTTTTAGCTAATTTCAGCTGTTTTTTTAGCAAGTTCTTCAAGAATAAGCATTCACACTGCATTTTTGCAGGACATGCAATTTCTCTAGTTAATCTTTGGAGTCATTCCAATTCAAGATGGCCACCGCAGCTAATCATCATGACCATACCTGATTTTATAGAAATTGAGATCAAAGCTGGTGTGGTAAGTAGCTGAAGTCCAATGGCAGCTATAACTTTGTCACAATCTCTAACATGGAAGGCAGTGGGCAAAGTGTGATTCTTTAGTTTAGCTTATCTGCTGCACTTTTTTGTGTTTGTCTCATATGATGCCGTAGTTGAAGCTGGTCAACCCCACTCAGTATCGCTTTGAGCATCTGGCCACGCAGCTTAAGTGGCGCCTTCAGGAGGGCCGTGGCGAGGCTGTCTACCAGATTGGAGTGGAAGACAACGGCCTGCTGGTTGGTCTGACGGAGTCCGACATGAAGGCTTCTCTCAAGACCTTGAAGAGGATGGCAGAGAAGTAGGACAAATATATTTATTTTTTGTATGACAAAATTTAAAGGTTCTTTTTTTTACATTAAGTTAAGTTTACCTGTAAATGACACCAATTCATAATTCAAGTCATCTTAAGGGACTTTATAGAGAAGAAAAAGTAAAACTGTGGCCAAATAAAGAGTGTAATTCTAAATTGTTTAAAAGATAATTCTAGATGAATAAGATCTACATACTGATAAAGACAGAAAAGAAGACAGGGCAATACAGTTAGGGCTGCAACTAACGATTATTTTAATAATCGATTAATCTGTTGATTATTTTTTTCCCTCCAATTAATCGACAAATCGGCAAAAACCCAAAATGTTTTAATTTCCACTTCTTTATTCCAAAATTGAACATTTGACAGCCATAGCAAATCGCACAAAAAACAGGTTGCTACTTGACTTTTCTGTTAGTAGAATATTGAAAAATAAAAAATAAAAAAGTTAGTCAAATAGCTTCAATAAAAAAACAAAACACAAAAATATATACAAATGTATCTTTATACCTGCACAGTATGTAGCTATTTTGTAAAACGTGTCTTTGAGGGAAGAGTGTAACCTGGATTAAAAGTGTGGATTATTGTAACCTGGATTAAAAGTGTGGATCGTTGTAGTGAAGCCTTCGTCTTCAACCATGGACAGAGGCCTCATGTCAGAGATGATCATGCTCAGGATGCTTTGAGTCAAGACAGCTGCTGCTGTGGTGTCCATGATGTCTGTCCATCATGAAGGTTTGTTGTTTTCTGGAATGAGAGAGTGACAAATATAGCGATATGGGGCTGGATATATATTGTTAATTATCAGTTATGAGTTAAGCTCATAAGATATGCACGTATTATGCAAGTAACCTCGTAGTTTGGGCACCACCTCTCGGAGAGGAAAAATCAGTCTTTATTTAACCCCAAATTAATGTAAACTGAAACTTGAGTTATTTTCTCGTGTTTAAAGGGTATCAAATCAGTTAATACACACAGATATGCCAAAATAATCACAAATTCAGTTGATTTTTATGTATTTTATTATAAAAATAATAATCTGTGATATATATGATGAAGATCATGCATTAAAAAGTTAACTAAATATCAAATGATGTTGAATCAGTGAAACTTAAAAGGCAGATTTTGGACTTGTTTCTGTTTGTGAAGTGGTTCAAATTGTGTCTAAGGTGAGCTAAGTTTGTCTGATAAGTTTACTGTGATGTAGGTTCACCAGAAAGGCATTGAAAAGTCTCTCTCCTACCAGGATGTAGATGGTCAGGAATGGTTCCGACAGCTGCTCAATGGTACCAGCCTCAGATGTTCCGGTGACTGAGAGGCTGAAGTCTCCTCAAAGTTCACCTGTCATCGTTAGAGGGACGCAGGTCCATATGGTATTCAGCTAGGATCTACCACTCTGCAGAGTGATGGTTGCCTGGTAGACAGCTCTCGGGTTAATGCCTGGTTCTGGTTCTGCTGGGTAACTTCTGTATCTTTTGTCCTGTCTCGACACGTCTGCAGAGTTGCTTCTCGTTTGCTCAAAGCCGTCTGCAGAAAGGATGCTTCTCTCCTTTCTGAGGTCAAGTGCAGAAGCTGGGTTTCTTCTCTCTCCAGTGGTCTGTGCAGTAGCCTGTTGTCTCCGGAGCCTTTTCCAAAGCGTGCGCTTTCTCCAAAGTGTCCTTAGAAGAAGTGAAACTTACTGTTTGGGCTAAAACAGATAGAGGATTGGTCCATCTCTTCCAGGAAGAGGTGCTCCTAACTCTTGGTCGTGTTTTTTCATAAAGGCCTATTAAATAAATCTAGAGTCCCTATTCTCTGCCTTAAAGGTTTCCTTTTAAAAGAGAAAATAAGACGAGTGTATTATCTTAAAGAAAGATGACTTCAAACACACATTTTCATGAATAAACATTCAGGTATGACATATTTAGGATTAAACTTTAAACATGCAATGTTTAACCAAAGGTGTTGCTGTTTAAAGAGAAGGTCATTAAACAAAGGGTTCTGATGGTGTTCTCTTCATGGGGACGAGTCTGGGAGGAACACTCCTTTTTGATAAAGGAAGATGTCAAAGTAGCGAGTTCGGATGTTTCAAAAACTCCGAGGTCAGTTGAACAAAAGCTCTCATTAAAACGATCTGTCCGTTTCTTCTGAAATGAGTTCATACTGGCAGTGAGGTAACGCAGTGACAGTTTTTTAAAATTACATTAACATTAGTGTCAACTGAGAAGTTTGTGAGCTGAGCTGAATATTTGTAAAACTATGTCTGTTCCCAAGGAAATAGATGAATCTTAATTTGAACAGTTTCAAACACAGGAAGGACATTTGTTTGGGATGAGGTGAACTCTTTCTGAGGTGGTGGTCCCCTACACAAAGATTACAATTTTTAATTGTGATTAATCTCAAATATTTTACTGATTAATCTCAATTAATCTCATGAGTATGCACAAATATAAATTATATGGACTGTACTTATACAGCACCTTTCTATCTGATCAAGACACTCAAAGCTCTTTACAACAATCTGTGCCTCATTTACCCGTTTATACAGCTCTATACTAGATCTCTACAAAGACAATTGAACAAATCATTCTAAAGAGACTAATCACTGTTTAATTATGACGTAAAGATGTTTAGAACATTTTTAAGGAACTGTTTTCTATAAACAATGTTCACTAGATTACAAAGACACTTTCTAACAGCAGTGTTCTTCTAACAATTAAAGTATTTCTAATAACAAACATGAACACATCAAATATGAAACCAAAGCTGTTTGCCAGGACAAAATGTTTTTAGTTTATTTTAGAGAGAAAATAAATTCCTTCAAAGTCAAAAGCACAATCATAACAGATTAACAACAAATTCAAAATATACATGTTTTTTCTGAAATGTTACAAGAATAAACCTTTTTAAACGAGCAGCATCATGAAGAGTTGATCTGATGCTGCTCAATAATCCAGGTAGATTATCTAACCAGGTTAAGTGAGGTCTTCTGAACAGATTCTTCTTTGTTGAAACGTTTTATCTTTTGTTCAAAAGACTTCTTCAGTCTGAGGACGTGATAAAAACTCGGGGGCCGTTTACACGGCGTGTATTTTAGTGCATCCGCTCCTTTCTCTCTGCGGTTCTGCTGATCATCTACACGACACCAGTGACCCCCTCTTTGAATCCAGATGTTTCTGAACCCACCTTCCAGAGTGGAGGTTTTTCTCTGACCCCCCGCTGATAATGGAAACATCTCCCGCTGAGGCTTTGTGTTAAACCACATGTGCACGTGCGGACAGACGCTGTATTTCTATCAACATGGCGGCGGACACACTGCTTTCTGAACCTCAACTGATGGAATATATTTTTAATCTCGTAGTTAATCTACGTCAGATTCCAGGTGCTGTGACCAACATCTGTGTTGGAAGAGACACAGTCTGATCCAGTTCTAATGTCACTGTTTATAGAACGAGCCTGTTGAGGCAGACGTGCACATCTCGCTGCACTATAACAGTTTATTAACAATAAACAGTATTTATGTTAGTGTGAGATATAATGAAGCTCTGAGCTAAATGAAGCTTTCTGGATATTATGTAATTCAAATTTAAAATGATGCTAAACATGTAGCGTGTTATTAAAGTTGAAAATGAAGACATCAGATTTAAATTTTATTTATTTATTCAACACCACAAACTGTGTCACACAAACACTGATAATTAAACTGAACACACTATTAAAACACGTTAACAGTAAACTGCATGAATGAACTGGACTCTTGTTTTCATCCTGGATGTTCTGGTCCCATGTTGTTCATCTGGCTCGTTCAGGCTGTCACTCCTTTGATTAATGCAGCTTAAAACATTGAATAGATTGAATTAAAGAACTGAGGGGATTTTAAATAAATAGTTCATCAACATCTCTCTCTCTTCGACGTCCTCCTGCACCTGGGCCGAGCCTCGTTCAGAACCGGTCCGCCTGGTGGAGGACAGCTCCTTCTTCTTTCAGGAAAAATAAAAACTCAGCTGGTTGTTGTGTGATCAAAGTAAACACAAACTAACATTATTAAGAACATTGATTTACCTGCTGTAAACCAGATACTGATTATCACGGAGTAAAGTCCGACATCGTCGACTCTGTTCTGGTCCACTCAGCGACCGGTGTGGAGCTGTTAGACGAAGCGGTCCCGCTTGGTGTCAAATCTGTCTACTCTTATCCACAATCCAGCTTTAACTTGTTGTTAACTTGTTGTTAACTTGTTGTTAACTTGTTGTTAGCTGAGCTTTTTAGCTCACAGGAAAGAAGCGTGCCGAGGCAGCAGCATGCGCATTAGGTGAAGGTACAAAATTCACAGCGCCATCTAATGACCCGGCATGGAAACTACAGCAGATTCAAGGAGGGGGGGGGGATTCCTCCGGATGCATGTAAACACTAAATCCATCCGTGTCACCGCGGATCTTTTCCTCTAATTATCATATGAAAAAACCTACGTTTGCCCCCATCCTGTCTGTGTAAATAGGGCCTCAGTCAAATAGCACTCAACCAGTTTCTGTTAGTCAGAACCAGTATTCACATGTAAAAGGAGGACCGTCTGCCTAACAATTGATCATAAGAACTCTGTTTTCTACTCACTGGGGATGAGTGATTCTATTGATATTCTACATGTTCTAGGAGAGGAATTGAGAGAGTTTTAAATAAACCATCTTTGTGAAGAGAATCCGTCCATCTTTAAACTGGGGTGGGTGGTCTCCATATTCAACTATCACACCTACTGTTAATTCATCATTCAGCTCTCTGTGAACAACAAGCAGCCATCAGGACATAAAAGACCTAAAGTTATAGCTTTTATACATGTGTATAGCTGTTTTCTTACCAGCATCACAGGCATGAAGAGTTATGAAGTCAATCAGCAGCAGCTGTCATTCAATTTGTAGAGTGAGATAACATGCATTTACAAGAATCTACTAATTATTTCACGATTAATTTATCTTTATTTTTTATTTTGCAGCAGTCCCAGCTGAATGCATGCAGCTCAAAACTTTGTTTTCTGTAACTACATTATTATTCTAAAATACTAAATATTTCCTCCACTAAAAACTGACTTAGAGCTGCCAGCCTCAAATAAATATATCTAATTTAAATTATTTTTATCCATCCATCCATGATCCATTAAAACTTGAAGCTTAATCATTAAATTATTACCATCTTTGTGTTAGATTTATGTAAAAATCACATTTAAAGACTGTATCAATTAAATTGAAATAAAAAGTAACATACACATATAAAATACTTAATTGTGCACATTTGAGTAGATGTAATAAATTACTTTAATTCCTGTTTAAATGCAATTCATCCTGCCATACCTGCAGTGTCTTCACTCAAACTTTGCTGTCAAATTAAAATGTGAAGCTTAATCATTAAATTATTACCATCTTTGTGTTAGATAAATCACATTTCAACACTGGACCTGTGGTGGTACCAAGTGGTTCTCATTAAAATTATGGGACTTACAAGGCACACCGGTTCGTAGATCTCACAAAAACACTTAGGACATCTGAGACAGGCTTGTAAATTTAGAAAACAATTTATTCATTTCCATTTTTTATAAATACTTTTTAAATACAGTTTTTAGATACTTTAACAAACCAAATAATCATTTTAAAAGTTGTAGTCCAGACCCAGGTGTGTGGCTAATTACCCACGCCACTGACTTGAGTGCTCAGGGACCACGCCCCAAACAATTCATGGAGAAGTCCAGTGAAGCAGCCACAGGCGTCTGAGGACAATTAAATGCAACAATCTGGAGAACCCAAACAGTAGTGGTCCTCCATAGAGCCAGAACACGTAATGTTCCATAGAGACAATAGTTGTAACCTCAGTGGAGACAAAACGGTGATCTGGGATCAGCAGTGATCCCAACTTCAGCCAAGGACCTGCTGACACATACACGTGCAGACATGCACATACACAGGGCTTGGCCTCCATCCCAAGAAAGCCAGAACAGCACGCATAACACAATCTGCTGCTCAGCCACAACCAAACCCCACACGGGTTGTGAGCCACGTAGTGGGAGCAGGAAGAGGAAACCGAGTGCCAGAACAAGCATTGCTGCCTCCTTTTATACTCCGCCCACTTATCTAACAGGAAGTAACATTTCCCTAGCCAGGTATATTTCTATACTGCTACATCCTACCCCACCTTCTTGCATCGTTAACCCGACGATGGCCGAGTCAAAGTTCAAAATATCATCAATTCCAAGGTCTAAACAAAGCTGAAACCTCAGCAACCCCTGAAGGGAGACCAACAACTTTGACAACATTCAATATGCCCACAACTGTGTGGGGGTGTAGCACTACCTCAGTCGATTCAACACTAATGACGGGTACGTCGGCTGTACCCCTGATTACAGCAACCCAGAGCCCAAAGGTCCAAACAGAGCGGTAGAACCCAAGTACTCCTCAGAACACGTGGCAGCCACAATTTTCATGATGCAACAAACTTCAATTAGCGTTGCAGGAAACTATCCAACACTTACTCAAACTGGTCTTAACAGTCCCAGCATTTGACATTTCAGCAGGTGCATGCTGCTTCACTCTTTCCATAAGACCCATCAATGTGCGGAAGAGCTCCTGAAGACTCTCTCTCTCCTCTGGCTGTCCTCTGGAAAAGAATGCCTCCTGAAGAGCAACACACAACTTTGAACAACAATAGAATTCCTATAAAATCTCAAGTATCTCTGTTTCTGCACTAGAGCAATACTTTATTTCATACCTGGCCTCTCAGGCTCTCATCCACAGTTTTACTTCATCCACTCACTCAACCCTATACACGTCCTTCCTCTAAAGACGGACACTTCCTATCTCTCGGCACAAAACTTAATCTCTTTGATACAGGGAGACTAGGCGTGGAAGAGGCATCAGGTAATGATGAAGAGGTGGACGGCTGAGCACTTGGGCTGGCCTGTCCTTGTCGCAGCTGCTCATTGTCAGCCTTTAAAAACTTGCCACTAACTCTCTGAGTTCCTTTATTTCTCCATAATTGCCACAAGCTTACTCTGCTGCCTGTGATTACTACAGTGCAGAAAGCACCCTGAGGCTAAAACTTTAACCACCTCACCAAACACTTGTGAAGATCTGCACGGAACCACTGCTGCTCTGTCTCCGGGCAGTCCTGTCTGCACACAAATGACACAGTTAAACCAGGAAAATATACACATATAACAAAGCCAAAAGAATACCTGTCTCAGATAAAACAACATATGATAAATGCTCTTATGTGGTGACACATTTAATTGCATGTGAGCAAACATGATCAGCTATCTGATCAGGCTTTCATTTTGTCCTCCCTAGGGTTGGAGCTGATATCACACTGCTCAGAGAAAGGGAAGTGGACTATGATCTAGACAGGAACAACCGAAAAATTGCAGAGGTCCTTGTTCGAAAAGTTCCTGATGATCAGCAGGTGAGAGTCTGTCTTGTGGACTCTGGACTCAGCATGTTCACAAACAGTTTTAAACCTGAAGTTTCCTGATTGGATCTGAAATCTTAAACTTTTAATCTTGGTGTGTTTTTCTGGCAGTTGATAGTGAAGCAGCTTTAGAGTTGTGATGAGGGCTTTTGTTTGGGAGGGCTGGTGTTTGCAGTTCTGCGATGAAAAGATCACTTAAAAGGATAAAAGTTCTGTTAAACTTGATCAAATGGCACCAGTCTGAAGCACTATCAGCTTTAAAAATGACCCGGCAGGATTAGCTGTCTTAAGGATTTTAAATTGAAAACATGACTCTGTCCTCTGATGTGGGTTTTCGGACTGCCAACAGTTTCTGGATCTGCGAGTGGCAGTGCTGGGTAACGTGGACTCGGGGAAGTCGACCCTGCTTGGTGTTCTGACACAGGGGGAGCTGGACAACGGCCGAGGCCGAGCACGACTCAACCTTTTCAGACACCTGCATGAAATTCAGACTGGGCGCACCTCCAGCATCAGCTTTGAGATCCTGGGCTTCAATAGCAAAGGAGAGGTAAATATTAAAAGTTTGTATTTGTAATTAATTAATAATTTTTGACACCGTTTGGATTACATTTAAACTCGTTATGACGATTTCAACGCCACACAACATTGTTTGATGTAATTTTGCAGGTACCTCTGACACCAAGTGTCAGGTGAAGTGTAACGATTGATAAAAAATCTAAATGTAATTTGACAAACTCAACATTGACAACATGCAGTCAAAACAAATACAGGACTGTAGAGAAGTTGTTCCTCATCAACAAAAACCAAGTAAAACATTTGAATCTTTTAAAACATGTTTGCAAGTTCTGGCTGTGAATAAACACCAACATGACAGTATGATTTTTTTATTTAAATTTGTCTATTTGTTAAAATAAGATCAAAAAGTTTTATCTAATTAAATTTATTTCTTATTCAAGTCCTTCAGTGTAATGCCAGGTGTCACTAGACGATATCATTGTTTTTCTTTTACATTTTATTGTTGGATGTAACTGGGACTTCTGTGTACATAATTTCATCCCACCACATGTACCACATGAGGTGCAAATCTCTGACTCTAAAACCAGCTGCAGTAAGCCGAGCTAAATGAGCTCATCAGTGCTTCCATTATACAAGGAGGGTGCCCCGCCCTGTCAACAGAACCGAGCGCCCTTCCTATTGAACTGCCCCCACCCCCAGACAACTGCCGGCACTGACGTAGCACTAAGCTAGATGCGTGCAACATAGACGTGCTAGCTAAAACGCTACAGAGGTAGCGCTCCATTTCCCTCACTTTGAGCCATTTCCTTCACCCTCCAAGAACTGCCGGCACAAACAGTGTGCAACACTGACGTGTCTCCGTCTCTACCCCCCAACAAAAGTCATGGAAGTGATGAGCACCCTGCCAAGGCAAGGAAGCTAGGGGGAACTGCTCATGGTTCATTTTATCCAGAACTATCCAAAACACCCTGGTTTATCTGAATGGGATCCCTGTGAAGTCTTAAAACATGCACTAAAATACTGTATAATAACTGGTCTGAAAATAGATAATTTAGCCATTTTGAAGTGAAACTACTATAGCAAGCACAAAGTTTGTTTTCTCAGTCATCTGTCATTTGTTACTATAGCAAGCTTATCCTTTTTGTGCGACAGTTGCATGAGGTTGAACACAGACATGCAGACAGAACATAAGGAACTTAATAAAAATGTTTACTTTAGTGATGGGCTTTTGAATCAGAAGCTCCAGTGCATGTATCAAAAAATAATTCAATTATTTTTATTTGTATAGCTCCAAGTTACAACAGAAGTTATCTCGGGGCACTGAACAGAAACATTCATATGCATAAAAAGTCAATTAATAACATTTGTCTAAGGAAGACAGCAGATTGTGTTGAATCTTAACTTGTTCGCAGTCTCTCAGCCTGAGCAAGCACAAAGGCAACAGTGGAAAGGAAAAACTCCCTTTAACAGGAAGAAACCTCCAGCAGAACCAGCTCAGGGCGAGCGATCATCTGCTTTGACTGGCTGCTTTGAGAGGACAGGAAGGAGAGACAAACCAAACTTCAACGACAGGTCCAGATGTACCTCCTATTGGAAGAAAGACAAAAAAAACATGTTAATATAAACATAATTACAAATACTAAAAGGTTGAGTAGAGCAAGTAAAGACAGCAGCAGACTGAGGAAATGTGGTCAGTTTGTCCTCCAACAATGAAAATTTATCCCACACTGTTTAATAACTTTACCTAATGGAAGCATGTAAAGAGCACTGGGCCAAGCACTGAACCCTGAGAAATAAAACCAGTGTTTCAGAAGCTCTCTGTTGGAGCCTGATTTGTATGGCAAAAGTCATGATCAGTGACATCCAAAGCTTTGGAAGTGCTGACTGTCTCTGCTTTCCTACATTTATGAGGAAATAAATTATTGGCAAAATTAGTCTATTATTTTGTCTTATAATGAATTTGTTTTTGTTCTTTGAGCTCCTCGTGTCAGTCTGCATGCCTTGCTTCACTGCCCATAACCTTATATCAGCCCGGTTCACTCTACTTACCTTTTCATTTTATTTATTTATTATTTATTTATTTATTTATTCATTTTATAATAATAAGAATACATGTCAATTTACATGTATGTAATTTGAAAACAAAAATAAAATGAAAGGCAGCAGATGAAGATAAAATCTTATTAAGTCTGCTCCTTATTTATCTAATAAACAACTTAAACAAACATTTACTGTAAGTAACAAAAACAAATAAATAACTCGCTTAATTTTTCAATTAACAAACATTTTCAATGAATTACATTCATGTATATTTTTTAACAATTTGATTTTTACCAGTGTCTTAAATACCAAGATTGATTAGGCTTCCTTAATATCTGTCTCTAAGTCATTCCATAAACCAACACCCTGAATTAAGGTAGATCTTCCCTTTAAACTAGTTCTGAACTGCGGTTTTACAAAAACATCTTTCCCCTTAAGATTGTAACAGCTTGATCTTTTCACAAAATACATTTGAATATTAGAAGGTCGTGTATTTGTATGAGCTCTATACATAAGTGACAAAATGTTGTAATCCACCAAATCATAGAATGTCAACAGTTTCATTTGATTAAATAAAATACTTGATGGATGATAATAATGTTTTCTTGTAATAATTCTTACAACTCTTTTCTGCAATATAAAAATAGGCTTTGTAATTGATTTACACGCTTTCCCCCAAACATTAACACAATAAACCAAGTGTGGAACAACAATTGTATTATACAACAAAAACAATGCTTTATCATTTAGTAGATACCTAACTCTATAAAAAATTGCAATAGATTTGGATATTTTCGTTTTAACAGAATTTATATGTTGTTTCCACGACAGTTTATCGTCAATAATGACACCCAAGAATTTCACCTCATTAACTCTACAAATCATTGAATCTTCAATTTGAAATGGAACATCAATAGTTTTATTTCTATTACTAAATATCATGTAATTTGTTTTATCCAAATTTAAAGATAATTTGTTTAGTCTAAACCATTTCTGAATTTTAACAAACTCAGTCATCATTGACTCCAACAACTGTTCAATATTTTTACCAGAACAAAAAAATGTTGTGTCATCAGCAAAAAGAACGCATTTAAGGAGGCCAGACACCTTGACCAAATCATTTACATACAAAATGAACAACTTTGGGCCAAGTACGGATCCTTGAGGAACTCCACAAGTAATAGTACAGTGATCCGATTTCACATCATTCATCTGTACAAACTGTCTCCTGTTTTTCAAGTAACTACACACCCATTGTAAAGCTAAACCTCTGATACCATATTTGTATAATTTATCAAAAATAATATTATGGTCAACAGTATCAAATGCCTTTTTCAAGTCAACAAACACACTTACACAATATTGTTTACGGTCAACCGCAGTAGTTACTTGTTCCATAAAGTCCATAAGCGCCATAGATGTTTAATTTTTTTTCTAAAACCATATTGATTATTAGTTAGAATATTTTGTTTTTCAATAAATTGGTCCAGTCTGTTACTGAATAGTTTCTCCAAGATTTTATAAAACTGTGGTAACAAGGATATCGGTCTGTAGTTATCAAACACACATTTGTCACCATTTTTAAAAAGAGGAAATACCTTAGCCACCTTCATTCTGTCTGGAAATACTCCCGTTGTAAAGGACAAATTACATATATGTGTAAATGGTTCAATTACATGACCCATTATGTTCTTTACGAATGTCATGTCCATATCCATCCAATCCTTAGAGTTTTTGTTTACAAA